TCCTCCGATGTAAAACACAACCCCCCTGGTTTGTTTGGTTAAGAGGAACAAAGCTCACTTCTATATAAAAAGTCCATATAATCAGAAGAAAGGGGTCATTTGAATAATGGAAGCCAAAAAAAAAGATCAGCTGATCCGTGGGCCGAGGTTAAGGGGCCTCCTGCACCTCAAAAATAATAAGGCCTCCCCAAAAATAAGGTCAAGTGCTTATTTTCGGGGTCAAAAGAAAATAAGACCCAGTCTTATTTTGGGGGGGACACGGTGTGTGTGTGTATACATACGTACATATATGTATGTATGTATGTATAGATAGAGAGGGGGGGATAAATATAGAGAAATATAGAGATATAGATAGATAAAGAGATACATAGATAGATACATAGATAGATAGATAGATAGATAGATAGATATAGAGAGAGACAAAGAGATAGAGAGAGTAAGAGATAGAGATAGAAAGCGATAGATAAAGAGAGATAGATAGAGATTATCGATAGAGAGAAAGAGATAGATAGATATAGAGAGAGATAGATAGATGGTAGAGAGAGATAGATAGATAGGGATATATATATAGAGAGAGAAAGAGATAGATAGGGATAGATAGATAGATAAAGATATAGATAGATGATAGAGAGAAATAGATAGAGATAAAGAGATAGATGGATAGATAGGGATAGATAGATAGAAAGAGATCAATAGATAGATAAATAGGGATAGATAGAGAGATAGATAGATATATAGAGAGAAAGAGGTAGATAGGGATAGATGAGAGAGAGAGAGAGAGAGAGAGATCGAAAGAGATAGGGATAGATACATAGATAGAGTTATATACATACATATATATAAATTACGGGTGGTGTTTGAAGCAATATATAAAGCCTGCCCACCAGGAACTCACCCGGCAGCCCCACAAAATGCCTTTGAAATAAGCTGGAGGGGAGGGAGGTAGGGAGATATTCATCTCTGTCAGATATGCCTATTCAGGGAGAAGTGGAGAAGTTTGATTTGCAAAGCAAACATTCTCCCGACTTCTATCTCTAGCTGCAGGCTCCCTTCAGAAGTTAAAAATACTCTCTTATGCCCAGAGAGAGAGAGGGAGAAAGAGAGTCAGAAAGCAATGCATTTCGGGCTTAGGAACCGCTGATCACATAACAAGAATACCTGGGAAGGAATTAAGCAACCAGAATTTAAGAAGTTTTTTTCCCCTCCTTCCTCACATTCCAACAGGCTGTGGTCGCTGGCTTTTTGGAGACAGGTAAAATTCTTCCATAAGGTAAAGGTTCCTCTTGCACATATGTGCTAGCCGTTCCCAACTCTAGGGGCCGGTGCTCATCTCTTTTTCAAAGCCGAAGAGCCAGCGCTGTCCGAAAACGTCTCCATGGTCATGTGGCCGGCATGTCTCAACTCCCGAAGGCGCATGGAACGCTGTTACTTTCCCACCAAAGGTGGCTCCTATTTTTCTACTCGCATTTTTTACGTGCTTTCGAACTGCTAGGTTGGCAGAAGCTGGCACAAGTCACGGGAGCTCACTCCGTTACGCGCTGCAAGGGATTCGAACCGCCGAACTGCCGACCTTTCTGATCGACAAGCTCAGCGTCTTAGCCCCCGAGCCAACCTTGTCCCTTATAATCAGTTACACCCCTGTAAATTGGTCAGGAGCTGATATGGACATGACAGAAAGCAGGACTTGAATGTGGACATGCCCAGTTTTTAGAGCCAGGCCAGGCTTTGAAATAAAAGAAACCAGAGAGCAAGATCCTTTAAACAGGGGGGGAAAACAGGTGGGTCAAGCTAGGGAGAAATTAAACCAGGATGGAGGGGTTTGTTTGGATGAGCTCTGGGAATCTTTTCAAGGGGACAGGAAATAGTCCTTTCTGAAGCTTTTTGGAACTGAGAAGTGGAGGAGGGAAAGAGGCTTATGCTCAGAATTAAATTCCATGTGCTTTGTTCCTCCTGGCTCCTGATGGAGAAACCTCAGAGGTTTTTTGCTCTGCTCTGTCCAATGAAATCGCAGCACTTTCGGTTCTCTAGGGCAGGGGTCTCCAACCTTGGCAATTTGTGGACTTCAACTCCCAGAATTCCTCAGCCAGCATGCGCTGGCTGAGGAATTCTGGGAGCTGAAGTCTACAAGTCATCAGGTTGCCAAGATTGAAGGCACCCTGTTCCAGGATGCCCATGTTTAAAGTCAAGGGCTGGACGGAGCATTTCAAAAGACGGCCTCTGAGGATGTGCAGAGTGCTCTTCCCCCCTCCTGAGTCCAGCTCAAGCTCCCTGGTTAGAGCCTAGGGGTCCAAAAGGACAATAATCAGGGGGTCTCTGCCCACAATAGGGAGCAAAGAGGCTCTCTTGCCAAGTTTGAACTGTGCCACCCAAAACCTCACTTGAAAGAATCCTGACCCTCTTCGTGCCCTCACTATCAAGCAGAGGAGGAAGGGGAAAAAAAGCAAGCAGAAAAGCAGCTTCTCACACCAGGATTTAATCTAGAACCCAGACATCAATAGGGCTAGAAGGGATCTCAAAGGTCTTCTAGTCCAACCCTCTGCTCAAGCCAGGAGTCTCACTCTTATCCTGGTCGAACAGTTGGTCCTGTCTATTATCCCTGTCTGTCTGTCTACCTCTGTCCATCTATCTATTTATATCTAACTAGCTATTTCTCTCTCTCTCACTACCTACCTACCTAGATCTCATTCTCTCTCTCCCAACATCTATCTGCCTATCTGTCTGTCTATATATATCTATGTCTCTCTCTCTCTCTCTCTCTCTCTCGCTACCTACATCTATCTGCCTATCTTTCTGTCTATCATCTATCTATCTATCTGTCTGTCTGTCTGTCTATATATAACTATGTCTATCTCTCTCCAGATCTAGCTACCTACATCTATCTACCTCTTTCTGTTTATCTATATATAGTTATGTCTATCTGCCTCTATCTAGCTAACTATTATCTCTCTCTCTCTCTCCCCCCCTCTCTGTCTGTCTATTTATATCTGTCTATCCAGCTATCTATTATAGATCTATATATCTATGTCTATCTGTCTATCTATATCTATGTCTGTCTAGCTATTTAATCTTTCTCTCTGTCTATTAGTCTTTCTGTCTATTTCTATCTATTTCTATCTAGATATCTATTATCTATCTCTATATATCTATGTCTATCTGTCTACCTATCTGTGTCTGTCCAGCGCTCGCTCGCTCGCTCTATCTATCATCCATCTATCTATCTATCTGTCTGTCTGCCTGTCTGTCTGTCTGTCTATCTATCTATCTATCTATCTATCATCTATCTATCTATCTTCTATCTATCTATCTATCATCTATCCATCCATCCATCCATCCATCCATCTTATCCATCCATCTTATCCATGCATCCATCCTTGCATCGGCCTGTATACTGAAGCCCCCCTCCAGCTTTTGGCAAAGAGGAGAAAAGGGGGCCTGGCGGACGACAGCTGTTTCCCAGCCCAGATGGAAAAAACTGTCAAAATAATTTGAAAATACTTCTGTTCATTTCAGAGGCCCATGCAAACCCCCACCAAAGATCTGCTCACGATGTACTTGGAAAAGGGAGGGGGGGAACAAACCACCAGTTTCCAGGGCTGCTGTTTGTTTCAGTAAGCGTGTGCCCACTTTGCTGTGTGTGTGTGTGTGTGTG